GAGTTCACTACTTTTTTCGTGTGATGTGGCAAAGAGAAGGAATAAAATGAGTTGTGCTGTTGATACATTTTATCGTATGTGATCCAGTTTTTATAAAAATATGTGTATACATTATGTTTAGTCCTTTATAATAATTAGGTTACATATTGTTTCATTCACAACTGTTTTCTTCAGTGGTAAATACACCAACAACTTTTGCTCATTATCAGTAATACTTTAATTCATTTTTTTTCGTCATGTATCTCTAATCAAATAAGCATTTATTTCCAATTCCGAATTATCGAACTCTACTCGATCATTTTCTTTCCCTACATTCCTAATTTAAAATTATTTATTTATTAAATATGTAAGTTTATATAGTCTATATAATGCTCCACATTTAGGTAGATTTTTAGACCCATGATATTGATATTTGTATCAAATCTGCCAAATGAATTTAATTTAAATGCCATTTTTAGCGGCATGTAGATGACTATGTCGTTATAATTTATATTATAAACCTTACGTTTATTGCGATTAGTGTGTTTCATTGTGATTGTTTATAACTAAGATTTTAAGTATCTTGTGTTAATATCGTGTAAAACATAGAATACTCACATTACACATATGTAGAGCGACTCAATGTGCATAAGAGGGAGGGAAAGTATGCAATGCAACACGCTTATACATCGCATGTAGTTTATATAGAGACTGCACACAGTGGTCGCCCGAAACTTTCATGTTTTTCTTTTTTCAATATTTTTTTTTAATAACAAAATTTGAAACTTCACGTTTTAGTAAACATATGAAAGCAATTACATACGTTGTCTATCTTTATACAATAAATGCCTGTTTGAATCAAATCATATGTAATGTTAAGTGAGAAGATAAGTTGTATAGTGTACGGTACAAATCAAGGATTTGATTGGAAACAAATATTGAGCGTTTTCATGATCTCATTTGATTGAATAACAAAGAAACTGTACATTTTACGAAACACAAAACATATTTGTGAAGATTCACAGTAAACAAAATAAAAGAAACATCTAGAACAATTCATTAAAGAATAAGATGTATAGACTATACAAGAAACTACATCTGCGTGCACTTTAATCGAATATCATAAGTAGGAATAAAGATGAATATTATAATTATATTTTCCTGTCACGAAAAATGTGTTCAAAAGTCCGATGGTTTATAGTTTCACATGTACTTTTGACCAAGTATTAATGGGCAGAGTCATACTCCAT